CCCCCCCCCGGGGCAGCACCCAGACAGCCTTAAACACCCTGGGAGGTGCCGGGACCCCCAGGGTGACACCTGAACCACTCCTGGGACCCCCAGAACAGCGTCAGATACCTCCAGAACCCCCCCCGAAGTTTCACCCACGTACCCCCCCTTCCCCTAGCGGAGCACCCAGACACCCCTAAACCCCCTCGCGGCACTCTCCCTCCTCCCGGGACAGGCAGAAAACCTACTGCTGGACGCCGACATGAACATCAAAATTGCCGATTTCGGCTTCAGCAACGAATTCACCTTCGGGAACAAACTGGACACGTTTTGCGGGTCCCCCCCCTACGCTGCCCCCGAACTCTTCCAGGGGAAGAAATACGATGGCCCCGAAGTCGACGTTTGGAGTTTGGGCGTCATCCTCTACACTTTGGTCAGCGGTTCTTTGCCCTTCGATGGGCAAAATCTTAAGGTAACGTCTCATTTTGGGGGAAGAGGGAGGTTCCCCAGGGCGGGGGTTGCGTTGTGCTGATGGGTGTCTCTCACCTCAGGAGTTACGGGAACGGGTGCTGCGGGGTAAATACCGTATCCCCTTCTACATGTCCACCGACTGCGAGAACTTACTGAAGAAATTTCTTATCCTTAATCCTACCAAAAGGGGCACTTTGGAGGTGAGGGACTTGGAGGGGGGTGGGGCGGGAGGTGGCGGAACACCCACAGGAGCACCCCGAGTATGGTCCTGGGACCCCCTAGACTAGTCCTGGACACCTTTGAGAGCACCCCGAGACCCCCAGCATGGTCCTGGGCACCCTTGGGAGCCCCCAGGAACCCCTGGACGCCCTCAGCATGGTCCTGGGACCCCCTAGAGTGGTTCTGGACACCCTTGAGAGCACTCTGAGATCCCCAGCATGGTCCTGGGCCCCCTTGGGAGTCCCCGGGTGCCCCCAGCATGGTCCTGGGCATCTCCAGGAGCCCCCAGGCACCCCCAGTGTGGTCCTGGGACCCCCTAGAGTGCTCCTGGACACCCTTGAGAGCACCCTGAGACCCCCAGCATGGTCCTGGGTGCCCCAAGAGCCCCCAGGCACCCCCCAGCATGGTCCTGGGACCCCCTAGAGTAGTTCTGGACACCCTTGAGACCCCCAGCATGGTTCTGGGTGCCCCAAGAGCCCCCCAGGCACCCCTGGGAGCCCCTGAGCACCCCCAGCATGGTCCTGAGACTCTCCCCAAGACCCTGGGAACCCCCCCCAGCATGTTCCTGGGTAACCCCAGTACTCCTCGGTGTAATCCTGGGTGCCCCAAGAGCACCCCAAGACCCTCAATGTGATCCTGGGTGCCCCCAGGAGCCCCCCAGGACCCCTCCAGCGTGGTCCTGGGCACCTCTGGGACCCCCAGTGTGGTCCTGGGACCTCCTGAGCACCCTCAGCATGGTCTTGGGGAACCCCCAAAGCACCCCCAGACCCTCCTGGAGACTCCCAAGAGCACCCCAGGATCTCCTGGGCATCACCGGCGTGGTCCTGGGCACCCTTGGGACCTCCCAGTCACCCTTAGCATCGCCCTGAGCCATCAGTCAGCACCGAGGACCACAGGACCCCAGAGGTGACGCCAGGAGGTCCCCTGGAACCCCCCCCAGACCCCC